ACACATGGCCTAGATACTTTGTTTTTTTTCGTACGCAGCAAGGGCAGTGTTGGTGTAGAACTAGACATTACAGCTGAGTTGATCAATGCCACTGCTTGTAAAGCCACGCAAAGCATCACTGGGAAGATCATGGAAGGAGCGAAATCAAGCTTGAATGGACCACTAGCTTTCACATCACTTCGTGTACAAGGTACATGCATTTGCCAGTTTACAATTATGAGACATACGTCTCYTGTGAACTGGCTATTATAAAATGTCTCGGAACGTACTCGGGCCGCTCGCACAGTCAAATCAGTTTAATCAAGGAAGATACTAATGATTTGAGGTCGTATCAAGGTCTAACATTTGAACTGGACCAACCAGCAAAGTTTCCTTGTAATTTTGTCCAACTCGTCTTTGCCTCGAACTAGAGCGATTAATCTGAAARYCCCGCCATGCCATCGTCTCTTTGAAACATTACAAACGAAAATATAATAAACTAAAACTTAAAGATTTCATCGTATTTTATTCTTCACCAGCTCGTCCATCACCCCCAGTCAACCTGACTCAAAGTCACGTGACTCTCACATCCGCCACGATTGGTTGGTCACCTCCTGCCTTTCACGAGCCATACAATATCACTAACTACACTGTCCAGTACAAAAAAGAAGGCACCACAATGCAGTACTACAGCGCTGCATTTGTGGGCCATGAAAAAAGAAAAGTCACTGTTGAAAATTTAGACTCTAACACAAGATACTTGATGCGCGTTGTGTCAGTCAACGCATATGGACAACGGCCAAGTGAGGATTTACTTGTACAAACTCAAGGTTAGTTGAAAGCAGTGCCGGATCCAGGATTTTTCAAAGGGGGGTTCCTCTTTGTTTTCACATTTTCCTAAAACGAACTTTTTTACTGTGCCTCTCGAACCGTAGCAAATTTTGTGTGAATGTATTGAATAAAAATTCATTGTACGATGCGTTTTCATTTTATTTTATGTATCATTTATTTTATTTTTTATTATTTTTATGCCTGAGGGGGGTTCCTAGGAACCCATGGAACCCCCCCCCCTGGATCCGCCACTGGAAAGCTACATTTTTACGTCACATCTCTTGAATTTCTTGATTAGTAAAATGTACTCAATGATAATATATTTTCAAAAACCAAGAATTTGAAGAAAGCTATATTTATCAAAAAACGTTATTTTTTTCTGTCCTAAAGCGAGAGTATCAGAAAAGGGTCCGTCTGTAGCTGCTATTGCGTCACCTCTTGGTTTGATGAGTGCTGTGTTAATTATTGTTGGAGTTCTATTCTTAAGATGGTGCCATAAGAAGAAAAAYGATGAAATAAAGTTAAAAGAAAGAATACAAAGGGTTAGTGTGATGTTATAATAACAGGAAAAGACCAATTTTTTCTAGCTTCAGAATAATTCATGTTTGGCTTAGGCATCTCGAAAAGACTCTGAGGTATTGTGCAGTTTATCTAAGTTGACACTAATATTTTGTGTCGATAATCAAAGCAGTAGTCGATTTGAGAATTTCTCCTCGGTAGTCACCAAGCACAATAAAGTGAAGACGAGGCTTCGTGCATAAAGCTCACTCACTCGCTCAAAGCTCACTCGTGATAAACTATTGTTTTAATGACCGAGCTTTATGAGCAGCGATTCCTTTATGTGTGACTATACTAAGCAAAAAAGTATCCACAAAAGAAAGAAATCACAGCAAAAATACCAAACAATAGCACAGAAGCTGATGAAGAAATGAGATTACAGAGATGGTTTTAAAACAACTTGAGTATTACAATAAACATTAGTGATGCAATTGTGACATGTTGGACAGAAGTCTTTTTGTTCTCCCAGTTGATGGAGAACCCGTACGACTCCGACGTAGACTGGTTTAAACTCTTCAAAATCGATGTGGTTAAGCCATGGTGGGAGATACCACGCGATGATCTGACGCTAGAGAATCAGCTTGGTTCTGGAGCATTTGGTGTCGTCTTGAAAGGATTTCTTAAAAGAGATGAAGATGGAAAAGATCACTGCAGATACTGTGCTGTAAAAATGCTGAAAGGTAATTGATTGATTAAACTATAAAAGAAATGTGGTAAAAAGTTAAGAACACACCCAACGAACTAGTCAGATAACCACGTAAATGCAACTACTTACCTCATGACCCGTCACTAAAACCTCGCGTAGAAAATTACCTCGAACATTTCCAAGTCAGCCTAAACTGATTCTTAATGGAAATATTGCATAACTTGAAACCAGGCTCTCTTCGTTCTTAATGGTTTTCTAAGATTTTCAGTGTCACTCARAATCGAATAAAGAAGAGGGTCACGGGAGATAAAAAATCATCAAAATTAGTCCTAGCAAGCCTTAAAATTGTTTTTCAAGAAAATTATTCAGTAAATCTGGCTTTGAGAATCCAACATGAAATGGTTCATAAATCATCCTTAATAATGTTTTTTGATCTTTTAGAAAATCCAACAGAAGGAGAAGTGCGAGACCTATGCAAAGAAATCAATATTATGTCAACCATTGGCGACCATCCCAACATCGTGAGCATTATCGGAGCTTGCACAATAAACGGTAGGATAGAAGTGTGCTACATACTGTGCTATACACAGACATACGTGAACATAACCCCTTTTTTTTTCTACCTGACCGTTTTCACACTAATTAGTCTAAGTGCAATGTTTGGAAAGAACTATTCTTTGAACTAACCTAGSCCTAGTGTCCATTTAATCGTCCCAATCGCTCAAAATACGATTTGCATTGTTCTTGATGCACTTGAAGAAACAAAAACAAYGGAGAAACGCGTTTTCCAGAGATTGGGACGGCCTGCACATAGCCTAAGAAAAATTGCCAAACTGGATTCGAAGGCAAACCCAAACAATAACGATATCGTTATAACTGACTGAAACAGTTCAGTCAGATACTTAGAATCTGATGTTTTGTCGTTYGCAAGGTCCTCCATTACTCGTCGTAAAGTTTGCACCAAATGGTTGCCTCCTTGACTACCTCAAAGAAAACCGTCCATTACCTGATTATGAAAACCAAAAGACAGASGTTATTCGTAAAGTAATCACTGAAAAGGAGCGACTGAAGTTTGCACACGAGATCGCTCAAGGGATGTCACATCTTGAGAAACATAGGGTAAGGATGATTGATTTGAACACTTGAATACAAGAATGAGTACTGTGTGAATAAAAAGCTGCTTGTCTAAATCTCAATTTGTGAGGAGGGTACGGGATTTATGTTTAATTCTGGCCGGACCGACATTCAGGATCTTGAAATATTTGAGGATAAATTACTACCTGGTTTCTCAGCCTCAGTGAGAGAGAATAGATCATTCCCATGAGATTTAAAAAAGATGAAATACCGGCAGCCATGGTGATACTGATACTAGGGAGAAATCCTTTGTTCCGCTCCAAGATGGCCGCTGTGACGTATGGGGAAATCTAAAATAGGGAACGGTCRAGCTGTACTTCCTATTTCCCCATACTTCATCAATTGCTAAACGGACTATATCGCGAGACTAAAACAACAACAACTGGCGAGTGCAACAATACCTATACTAGTACATAGCAATAGCCCTAACAGTAAGCGAATATCCCATTCTACTACGTACTACAAAAATTTCTGACTAAGGGCTGTTATCAGGGCCTGCGACTGCAGTCTCACCTTGCATGTGCGGTCTGCGCTTTCACCTTTGCTGAGGCAAAAGCTAAAGAAATAATATGAAATGCAGCTAACATTACCTCTCCTTATCGGTAGTATGTGCATCGAGACCTGGCAGCCCGTAACATTCTTCTTGGCAAAAACATGGTTGCAATGGTTGCAGATTTTGGCTTGTCACGTGATATTTATGAGCTTGGAGTGTATGAGAAGACAACTGGRGTATGTTCCTTGATGACTTGTTTATTTTTMTAAATAACAATTTAACTGAATTCGTAAAATTATGGAATGCTGTCGTTGCGTTTATATAAGAATTGCTTTTGACATTAAATATTAAAAAGTCTATGATTTTGAAGGGTAGATTCCCTGTTCGWTGGATGGCTCCAGAATCTCTGCAAGAACTCAAATACAGTACAGTAACTGATGTGTAAGTAGTATTACCGTGACTAGTGATTGGCAACGATTACCTTAGTTTGTAGTGCGGAAGACATTACTGTCCTTTATATCATACCGTCAGTGTTCACCTGTTCTAAATGTTAATGCCTGTATTTTTTTTCACGTTTGAATTCACGGTCACAGATGGTCTTATGGCATTCTGCTTTGGGAGATGGAAACCGGAGGTAAAAATAATGAAAATTAAAATAGATACCTTTGATATCCTGAATGATCGCTACAACAAGAACTGCTTTTATCATTCTATTAGCAGACATATATGGAAATATTACCTTATTTAGGAAGACTAAAAAAGCACAGGGACCCCACACCAATAACAACAATTCATTGATATGTGGTGGTACTAAATGCCATGAGGAGAAATAAATGGCAAAAACTACAACAACAACAACAACAACTAGTGACGCCATATTGGATGAATACACAAGATGAACTAACTTATATAATAACAGTGATAGTTTGTTATATTAATCAAACATGGCCGCTATGACACAATTTCATTTTGATCAATTCTAATTGCATAATTTCCCGCAGGCCTGGTCCCATATGGTGGAGTCGGATCAGGTCAAGAAATCCTAGCACAACTAAAACAAGGTTACAGATTGGAGAAACCCGGTAACACATCACGAGATTTGTAAGTGTTAGTGCGATAGTAAAATTACTATATGCGTCCTTTTATCAATTAAGCTYAATTAAGCATTAAAACTAACATTTTTTGTTTAATAATTTATTACCGAAGGTATGCTATTATGTGGAGATGTTGGAACCCAGACCCAAATCAAAGACCAACATTCTTTGATCTTGCATACCAAGTTAATGGCTTGCTGGCTGCAGCTAAGGTAAATGCCAATGTAATGAATATTGTTTGCTTTAAGATCACCAGCAGAGACTGAATAAAGAATACATTGAGTGAATGATGATATCCCTTCACTGGCTCAGCTTCCATAGCCTCAATGAACAGATTTCTACTATACGCCTTTTTCCAGTTCAAAGCGAGCAACGGCAGTTTTCGATGACAACTTACCAAAAACAAAAGAAAGCACGAATAAATGTCGTCATCTATAACAATAGCTCCACAGATTTGCATCTTCTCCGATTTGAGGCTAAGCCTGTATTCCCAGAAGGTTCTAACTCTAGGTCTTGTGGGAATACAGGCTTAGACTCAAATCGGAGAAAATTCAGATTTCTAGAGCTATTATATTTTCAAATATTTTCCACCTTTCTTTTGCTCTTTACGCACTTGAGTATGTTGTGCACTAAAATAGCGGTCGCTCGYATTGAGCKTATTTTTCACTAATACACTTTTTAGGGTGATCAAGGCTACAAMWATGAAGCTGTTGAGGAGGATCAAAACGATACTGGACAACTGGGAACTTCTGCTCCCAAAAATACATTGTAACGCTCCACAATCACTTYCAAAATAAGTAGGGCATCAGAAAGAAAGTAGTAAGTGCCAGAGAAGGCTGCGTCTTTGCCAAATCTTTTACTTTCGAATTAGTAATTTGGGTATATTACCTAAAAAGTGATAAAACCCGTGGAAAGAACTTAATTATATATCCTTTTACAAAAAGATGTTTATTCTGTATAGTGTTTTATGACTGTATTTTTGTATAATATATTGATCATATTATATTGATCTAGAAATAAAGTTTATAGTTTGGATGAACAAAAGTTACTAATAATTGCTGTTTATATTCATTGTTATTTATTCTTATTCAAGTAGTAAAATAAGATGCTAAATATTCGCTTCCTGGCCTTTGTTGGAGTTTGAAAGCCAAGCGTCCATTAATAAAAGTTAGACAGCTAATGCTACATATATACAGAGATTATCATATCTCTCAAGGGATCACGGGAAATTAAAATGCTGTTTATTGATTGCCTTTTATAATTTGTGGCTATGTTATAGTTAGTAGWAACTATAGTCATATCGACTCGTTGAGATTCCTCCATTTTGTTTTGTAAGATGGCTTTCCGCTGACCTTTATCATTGCTCTGACGAGACTCGAAGGGGCGAAGTGTTCGGAATAACTCTCGTAATGGTGGACRTACACTTTACTCGCTGCGTTTGGTCCGTATGGCATAGCCTCCATCCAAAAACGTTCCCCTCCCCCTCCYAACTTGCTCTGTCAATAAGTGTACATTATTTACAATGCTGTTTTCATCATTTATTTGGCATTCATAGCTCAATTACATTTAGTAGCTTTTGGCACTAAGTGCTTTCTGCTTAAATCATCTATGTACGCAATACGTCATTAAATCTAATGAACTCTGACTATAATATTTCTTCGAATTAGAATTCATGCCAGTGGAAATGTATAACATTGATCATATTCAGGATCCAATGTGTGCAATATTCACTACTTAACAGTCCTAACTGAACATTAAAACAATGGAATTAACTTAATTCTTTAATAATTGAATATATGTTTTTTATTGCCTGTTACAAGTCTATTTGGTAGGTTTAGGCTTATAACAGCCGACAACGATCTGAATCTTTTTCCCACTAGGTAAAATAATTAACGTTCTCGTAGGAAGACACCCTGGCTTGCATGTCATTTCAACTGTACATTTCTTTTCTATGCACGAAGCATCTCGCCGTTGTCTTGACAACAATTCTCCTTTGGCTCTATCGGGCTGACTGAGGCTTCCATGGAAGGGTTCAGACTCCATCGGTGCACTTGAGCAAAGGGTTCCCAACAAAAGGGCAAACACAAAGGCAATAAGGAGAATAACCTTATGGAAATGGAGATATAAAATTTATACGGATTTTTAAGCCATAAGTATCATTTCAAAAATACTGTTAGAAACAAGCTTCTATTTCAAACGTGCTGTATTTATGAAATATAAAACGGCGCGCGTGTCTCTGTCCTCTGATATAAACCATAGTTAATATTAACTATGTATAAACACGGTGGGAGTTCGAAAAACACGAGAGAAGCAAGCTTAGGAACACGAGCGTAGCGAGTTCGAAAAACACGAGAGAAGCAAGCTTAGGAACACGAGCGTAGCGATTGTTTCTCTTGCTTCTCGAGTGTTTTTAAACTCCCACCGTGTTTATATCAGAGGACAAGGTAAGCCGTGTCTCTGTCCTCTGATATAGAYACGGTCGTCAGCCAATCAGAGCGCGAGTTATATATCAAAAATTTTATAATACASTATATGTCTTACTTACCTTGAGCAATGACTGCACTGAAGATCCCATAGCTTAAAATTAAGAATCCTTGCTATTTTTTCTTGTAACTGTTCTAGTTTGCGTTGCTGTTCGGTTATTTGTTGACTTCTGAGTGCTGCCTTCTTTTATRCAGTCATCTTTGGTTCGGGGATTTGGATGATAAAGTCTTGGAGAAATGGACCACGTACTGGTTTCAGCGCTGTTGCAGGAGGGACATGCATGTAACGGTCTCACGATAAATCGTTCACAGCCTTATAAGAAGCCAGTAAAACATTTGAATATTTCCGAAKCAATCAATTCCTCGTTTTTAATGCTCTCTTCTTGGCACCCTTAAGCACGAAAACAGCATGGCTTTCAAGGTAGAGATACKTTTGAGTGTATTGGCTATTYTTGCTTACTTTTCTAAAGTTTCTTAACTTTCTCTTAAAATTTCATAATTTTAGAAGTGTTTCATACACCTGATCAATCGCCTTGAAGAAATTAGAAACTGGCGAGATGAAGTCATTCCCTCAATTTCTTGATTTCTATCATCAGTACGCTTTTAATACATACAGTTCCTAAAAGGATACACCGATTTAAGTGTAACAAGTATGTCTACTAATATTAGAGTAGCTTTTAGACTATAAATCCGTTTGTATTAGTCAAAGTCTAATGTGTGATATACACTGGTAAAACATGCAAAATAATATATAGTAATAGAGTGTAGTACGCTTTTTAAGCGTTGTACTAAAATTCATCATAATATTTCTACTTCACAGCTTTTGTGATCAACTGGGTGGTCATTGAACTGTTGCAAGGAGATCGAAACTATTCCTTTTTGAATATYTCTCATCTTTGGGTGAACCTCATAGATTCTTATAATGAAATGACGACATACGCCCTTACGATGATCTTA